GAGGCAAATGCACATGCTTCATCCCCTATGGAAAAATCATATATTACTTTTCTTTAATGTAGGTGCCATCACAACCTTCATTAACCTGCTTGATTGTTCTCCTAAAGTAGTATTAAACCCAACTTCTGGCACCTAAATTGAAATTCCTTTATGTAAATTGTCTAGCATCGCATTCCCTACCAGATATGATGAATGAGGTGCATGTAGTATTACTTCCTAAACCAGGAAAAGATCCCCTGTTTAATTCTTCGTATCGACCCATAGCGCTTCTTAACTTAGAAAAACCCTAACTAGAATCCTGGTTACAAGACTCTCCAAAATCACTAGCACCTTTGTCGATGTTGATCAAACAGGCTTTATTGCACAGGTGTCCACTAACATCAATTTGTGACAGTAACCAAGTTCATCCTTCTTTACTCTGCTTAGAACAAATTGACAGCAAAATGGCAACAACTTTTTATGCTTGATTGGCAAATTAATTCTCCTTTAATTGAAGATTCATCCAGTTTTATTGTATTTTCTTAAGAATGCCCTGGTTAGGGTTCAGAAATCTTTAAGAAGATTAATCAAATGATATGTGGCTCCTCTATTCCTTGAATCAAATTACCTACCCTCCAAGAACCTAGGTTGCAGGGTTTTCTGGCCCTTCCTGACCTGCATAAATATTATCTAGCAATCCAAAATGGATTACTATAACCAGATAGCACCAAATTCTTCCCCCATGCTCCTTTGTGTCATAACCCTCATTTTTGATTTGTGTATTTTTTTTGTTTCTGTTTTGGTACATTTTATTGTATTTTTTATTGTCCAAATCAAGCATGTACAAAAAAAAAAAAAAGAACACCACAGTTTCTAGATACTTCCTAGAATCAAATTACGTACCATCTAATAACTTAGGCAGCAGGGTTTTTCTGGCCCTTCCTCACCTGCATAGATATTAATTAGCAGGACAAAATGGTATTCACCCATAGGCTGATACTGGATGCTAGACTAGTAATGCCGATGTGGTGATGGAGACAGCATATTTGGGATTGTATAATGGTCTATGCCATTTTCTCTGTAGAGGGTTCCAGGAGCCATACTCTTACACTCTCTATGAAATCTGCAACTGAAGCCTGGTGTGAGATCCAACAATTGCTATAACCAGGTAGTGTCAAATTCTTCCCCCATGCTCCTTTGTGGCATAATCCTCATTTTTGATTTGTGTATTGTTTTTGTTTCTGTTTTGGAACATTTTATTGTATTTTTTATTGTCCAAATCAAGCATGTCCAAAAAATAAAAGAACACCACAGTTTCCAGACACTTCCTAGAATCAAATTACGTACCCTCTAATAACCTAGGTAGCAGGGTTTTTCTGGCCCTTCCTCACCTGCATAGATATTAATTAGCAGGACAAAATGATATTCACCCATAGGCTGATACTGGATCCTAGACTAGTAATGCTGTGGTGATGGAGGACAGCATATTTGGGATTGTATAATGGTCTATGCCATTTTCTCTGTAGAGGGTTAGGAGCCATACTCTTACACTCTCTATGAAATCTGCAACCGAAGCCTGGTGTGAGATCCAATTGCTATAACCAGGTAGTGTCAAATTGTTCCCCCATGCTCCCTTGTTGCATAACCCTAAAATCTTCTTTGTGTATTTTATTTTAGCTCTGTTTTGGTAAATGTTATGGGAATTTAGTATTGTCTTATTCCAATAAAGAGTTTAAAGAAAAAAAAAAAAAAAACACAACTGTTTCCAGATACTTTCTGTTAGCCCAGGATACATTCACCGAAACCAGAAAAAATGTGAGATTGTGTGAATCCTCTTTTGCTTTGCTTTTATTTTGTTATGTTTTCTGCTTCGTTTTACAATATGCAACCCTTTGCAAAGTTTTGTGTGTCCCTCGGGTACCCTGCAGACAATAATCTGTATTTGTCCTTGGCAATGCCCTTGAAGAAAAATATTCCTTAGATTGAGTTCCAGTAGGTAATTGGCTTAGTCTCTTTCTTTATCACTGTCTTACTTCTTCCCATGCTGTCCTTCGCTTTTCTCTTTTTATGTTTTTTCTTTCCTTTGATCCCTTTATAATGGAACTTTCCGAGAGAAATACCAAATGTGGCACAAGTAATATATGAGGGGGCTATAGAGAGTGCAAATGTGAGTGCATCGATTTGTAAAGGGGCTGTAATAGCAGTGATCTCTAGTAGTCTTATGTAAATGTGTTGTCAGTCTGAGTGTGTGCTGGCAAGTGACTGAAGAGGGGAAAATAATCACACACCCCTTGTCTTATTAATAGACTTCATTGTTACATATAGTCATGTAGTTGATAAGATTGAATAAAGACACTGCTCCATCCCATTCAATCTGTGTGTGTGTTTATGTCACTTCCATTTTACATATCTCTGTACATTGTATTTGCTAAGAAACATATCTAAAAGTTATCTTCACCAGCTGAGGAAGGGAGTTCCACATCCTCACTGCTCTAACAGTAAAGAACCCCTTATACAGTTTAAGATTATACTGCTTCTCGTCCAACCTCATTGTGTGGCAGCGTGTCTTCTTTGGAGACCTTAGATTAAATAATTCCTCTCAATTCTGGAGTAACCATTTAAAGATTTGTAGATTGCGATCATATCAATGCTTAAGCCCCTGTTCTACAGGAAGAATAAGTTTAATATTTGTAGCCATTTCTCATAACTGAGGCCCCTTATTAGCTTTGTGGCCCTTTTCTGCACATCCTTCCTGATGACCAGAACTGGACAGCATATTCAAGATGTGGCTGAACCAGAGTCTTGTAAAGTTGTAGAATTATAGTTTTCTATCTCTTACGCTCTTTTTAATGCTAGCTTTATCTGCTGCAGCTTGGTATTGCATGTTATTGTGGAGTCTGTCATCTACTGGAACCCCCAAGATTTTTTCCATCCTCGTTTTCCCCTGACATTCATCCCCTAGCGAGTAAATTGCATTTACACTTTTAGCTCCCAAAATGCATCACTTTACATTTTTCAATGTTAAACTTCTATGAATCGAAAATAGGCAATTGACTTCAAGTGTATCCAAGAACAACAATGTACTTGTTGAGATGACTGCAGGCCTTAGTTGAGGTGACTGCATACATTTTCTTTTTTTATGTAAGTGCAGAAAAACACTTTTATTCTAACAGGAATTTTTTGTTCTGGTAACTTCCTGTGAGCTGACATGAAATCTCAAGCAATGTTATCTGCCTTCCCAGATATCTTCTGTAAATTCTTATTTACAGAAGATATCTTTATATAAGAAGATATTTATATAAGATTTAAGATATCTGTAGATATCTTCTGTATCATCTACAGGACTACAGAACACCGCCCCCAGGATAGGAAGGGGGTTTACTGGCAGGTGATAATAAAGGAACTCAAAAGCCTGAAAACACCACCACAAGGATTGGTAAGCTACAATATATAACATTTTTTCTTTATGGGTTTGGATATGCTTTTACTAAGGATACTAGAGGCAGGTAAGTATAAAAAACATGAAAAAAATCATACACTACTGAAACAGAACTGAAAGTCTAAAGCTGTGACAGTCATTATCCACTTCAGAAGTTGTACAAGAATAAAATGAAGCTAAAGTATAATGTACCAGGGCCCCCTGGCCATAGCTCTGGTGAAGGAGGGCGAGTTCAGTCTAAAGTGTCACCAACAATACCCTGCAACCATGCAAAAGGAGCAAAGTGATCGTTGTTTGAAATACCCCGTACATTAATTGTTCTGGAAGCTCTTACAAGTAAATTACTATCAGAATACATTTTTATAATTTCACTTTGCTGCCAGCCCAGCTTTGAACCAACTTCTGTCATACCAGTCATACATACAGTATGACAGAAACATTGACAGAGTAGACCAAACAAAGTCTGACTCCATAACACAAAACATCTGTTTTTCCCCATATCTAACAGTTACAAAACACATACCATGATTATAGCATATGGTGTACACCTGCTTTTTCTGACAGCATCTTGGATAAATATCTACTACAAGAAATAGTGTGCAATATCTATGATGTTAGGTGCACTCCTTACTACATTTCCAACAAAGGCAGCTCAAATATGGATAGAAACAAGAAAGGGGATGCCTTATGCTTGGCATCACCACACTGATGATCTCTCCTCTGCTCATCCCTTTCTGTAAGCTGTCTAAGCCCACCCCTCCCCTGTCCCCCAGTGGTCAAAACATGTTAGACCTCCAGTCCCTTAGAGCAGTAATTTTCAACCCCAACCCTCAAGTTCGTTCAACAAGTCATAATTTTAGGAATGCCTTCACCTTGAACAAGTGATTTAAATCCATGTAAAATATCTTGGTGTTTATGACAGCTCCTTTCTCTAAGGAAACTTCCCTGGGCAACACAGTGGCTAAGTGGTTAGCACTACTGTCTAGCAGCACTGAGATTTTGGTTTGAATCCTAACCTGTCAATACCTGCGTGGCGTTTGCATGTTCTCCCTGTGCTTCTGTGAGTTTCCTCCAGGTGCTCCAGTTTCTTTCCACACACCAAAGACATGCTGGTAGGCTAATTGGTTCTAGTATATAAGACAGGGACCTTAGATTGTAAGCTCCTTGAGGGCAGGGACTGATGTGAATGTACAATATATTGTATATGTAAAGAGCTGTGTAATATGTTGGCAATTAGAGATGAGCGAATCGAACTCGGCAAAGTGGAATTCGTTTCGAATATTAGAAAAATTTCGATTCGTGCCGAATCCGAAAATTAGCAGACTTCGGATGCGCGAATCGAAATTTTTTCCAAAAATGGCGGCGACATGTGCGGCGACGGAGCAGGGATCTCTGGGAAGGCGCGCAGACAAGGCGCGCTGACCCATAATGCATTCATTCATGACATGTGATCGCATTAGCCAATCAGCAGCCAGCCAGCCAGCACTGTGTAATGGTGGAGCTATAAATTGCGGCCATCTTACAATTCTCCATTTGCCTCCGGTCATTCAAGAGAGACAGACCTCTCTGTATTAGGGACACAGAATCGTTACTTAGGGACACAGAACCGTTACTTAGGGACACAGAACCGTTACTTAGGGACACAGAACCGTTACTTAGGGACACAGAACCGTTACTTAGGGACACACAATCGTTACTTAGGGACACAGAACCGTTACTTAGGGACACAGAACCGTTACTTAGGGACACAGAATTGTTACTCAGGTACAGACACAGAATTGTTACTCAGGGACAGACACAGAATTGTTACTGAGGGACACAGAATTGTTACTGAGGGAAACAGAATTGTTACTGAGGGACACAGAATTGTTACTGAGGGACACAGAATTGTTACTCAGGGACACAGAATTGTTACTCAGGGACACAGAATTGTTACTGAGGGACACAAATTGTTACTCAGGGACAGACACAGAATTGTTACTGAGGGACACAGAATTGTTACTGAGGGACACAGAATTGTTACTGAGGGACACAGAATTGTTACTGAGGGACACAGAATTGTTACTCAGGGAAAGACACAGAATTGTTACTGAGGGACACAGAATTGTTACTGAGGGACAGACACAGAATTGTTACTCAGGGACACAGAATTGTTACTCAGGGACACAGAATTGTTACTGAGGGACACAGAATTGTTACTGAGGGACACAGAATTGTTACTCAGGGATACAGAATTGTTACTCAGGGACACAGAATTGTTACTCAGGGACACAGAATTGTTACTCACAGAAGGGACAGACACAGAATTGTTACTGAGGGACACAGAATTGTTACTGAGGGACACAGAATTGTTACTCAGGGGACAGACACAGAATTGTTACTGAGGGACACAGAATTGTTACTCAGGGACACACAGAATTGTTACTGAGGGACACAGAATTGTTACTGAGGGACACAGAATTGTTACTCAGGGACAGACACAGAATTGTTACTGAGGGACACAGAATTGTTACTGAGGGACACAGAATTGTTACTCAGGGACACAGAATTGTTACTCAGGGACACAGACACAGCATTGTTACTGAGGGACACAGAATTGTTACTGAGGGACACAGAATTGTTACTGAGGACACACAGAATTGTTACTCTGAGGGACACAGAATTGTTACTCAGGGACACAGAATTGTTACTCAGGGACACAGAATTTTTACTCAGGACAGACACAGAATTGTTACTGAGGGACACAGAATTGTTACTGAGGGACACAGAATTGTTACTGAGGGACACAGAATTGTTACTCAGGGACAGACACAGAATTGTTACTGAGGGACACAGAATTGTTACTGAGGGACACAGAATTGTTACTGAGGGACACAGAATTGTTGTTACTCGGGGACACAGAATTGTTACTCGGGGAAACAGAATTGTTACTCAGGGACAGACACAGAATGTTACTGAGGGACACACAGAATTGTTACTGAGGGACACAGAATTGTTACTCAGGGACACAGAATTGTTACTCAGGGACAGACACAGAATTGTTACTGAGGGACACAGAATTGTTACTCAGGGACAGACACAGAATTGTTACTGAGGGACACAGAATTGTTACTGAGGGACACAGAATTGTTACTCAGGGACACAGAATTGTTACTCGGGGACACAGAATTGTTACTCGGGGGACACACAGAATTGTTACTCGGGGAAACAGAATTGTTACTCAGGGACAGAATTGTTACTGAGGGACACAGAATTGTTACTGAGGGACACAGAATTGTTACTGAGGGACACAGAATTGTTACTCAGGGACAGACACAGAATTGTTACTGAGGGACACAGAATTGTTACTGAGGGACACAGAATTGTTACTGAGGGACACAGAATTGTTACTGAGGGACACAGAATTGTTACTCAGGGACAGACACAGAATTGTTACTGAGGGACACAGAATTGTTACTGAGGGACACAGAATTGTTACTCAGGGACACAGAATTGTTACTCAGGGACAGACACAGCATTGTTACTGAGGGACACAGAATTGTTACTGAGGGACACAGAATTGTTACTGAGGGACACAGAATTGTTACTCAGGGACACAGAATTGTTACTCAGGGACACAGAATTTTTACTCAGGGACAGACACAGAATTGTTACTGAGGGACACAGAATTGTTACTGAGGGACACAGAATTGTTACTGAGGGACACAGAATTGTTACTCAGGGACAGACACAGAATTGTTACTGAGGGACACAGAATTGTTACTGAGGGACACAGAATTGTTACTGAGGGACACAGAATTGTTACTCAGGGACACAGAATTGTTACTCAGGGGACACAGAATTGTTACTCGGGGACACAGAATTGTTACTCAGGGACAGACACAGAATTGTTACTGAGGGACACAGAATTGTTACTGAGGGACACAGAATTGTTACTCAGGGACACAGAATTGTTACTCAGGGACAGACACAGAATTGTTACTGAGGGACACAGAATTGTTACTCAGGGACAGACACAGAATTGTTACTGAGGGACACAGAATTGTTACTGAGGGACACAGAATTGTTACTCAGGGACACAGAATTGTTACTGAGGGACACAGAATTGTTACTCAGGGACACAGAATTGTTACTCAGGGACACACAGAATTGTTACTGAGGGACACAGAATTGTTACTGAGGGACACAGAATTGTTACTGAGGGACGCAGAATTGTTACTCAGGGACACAGAATTGTTACTCAGGGACAGACACAGAATTGTTACTGAGGGACACAGAATTGTTACTCAGGGACAGACACAGAGAATTGTTAATGAGGGACACAGAATTGTTACTGAGGGACACAGAATTGTTACTGAGGGACACAGAATTGTTACTCAGGGACACAGAATTGTTACTCAGGGACACAGAATTGTTACTGAGGGACACAGAATTGTTACTTACACAGAATTGTTACTGGGGACACAGAATTGTTACTCAGGGACACAGAATTGTTACTCAAGGACAGACACAGAATTGTTACTGAGGGACACAGAATTGTTACTCAGGGACACAGAATCGTTGAATTAAAGAGTATGTCAGACAACATGCAGAGGGAGTGGCAGAGGAGGCAATGTTTTAGGAGCGAGCAGACGTGGCAGCAGAGGAAGGGGTCAAGGCAGCACTAGTCGCAGCCAGAGGCCAGTGCTCCCGGTGTCATCCAGCGGTCGTGTCTCCACCGACAACCCTGCCGTCATCGATTGGTTGGCTCGGTCGTCTTCCTCTTCCCAGGTCACCTCTGACACCTACAGCCAACGGTCGGTGGGTACGTCAGACACAACCGTTAGTTCGCATGGCTCGGGAGCAAGCCCACTGAAATCACGTGTCCTCTACCTGCCCCTGTCCTTTGGTGTTCCCTCACCAAGCGAAGTATCGCATGCTGTGGGCTCAGCCCCACTGTACAGTGAGGAAGAGCTAACAGAGGGCGGTCAGGAACGGGGGGAGACATCCGCCTTTTCAGCAGCCAGGCGAAGAAGTACTGGCGAGGAGAGTGGCTCGGTAGCCGGTCTAGAGACAGGTCTGTCTCCTGACCCACACATGCAGCCGAGGGGGCTAGTAGTGAGGCGGAGACCCTAATTGATGATGATGAGGCTGATCGCACTTGGCAGCCTCGTCATCATCAGGCTATTGCTTCCGCATCATCAGGAGAAGAGGGTGCCAGCTTGGCAGCGAGCAAAACAGTCGGTGGGTTGCCCAGGAGGCAGCAGGGTCGCAGCAGTGTCAGTGGAGGCAAACGGCCACGGAGTAGAGCACCAGCTCCACTGCAGCCTACCACCACGGCCAGTAGTGGTGCCGGTGTGCACGGAGGAATTAGCAGTCAGCCAGTGAGGAGTAGCGGGGGCAAAGTTTCCTACTCGGCGTGTGGCAATTTTTTGTCAAGCCGCCCGAGGAAGAAAAACGTAGCCGTATGTCGACTATGTGGCCCAGAAAGTCAAGCGTGGCCAGGGGGCCCATGTTGGGACTACAGCGTTGCGTCAGCATATGCAGCGTCGCCATTTGGTGGCCTGGGAAAACCGTGATAAAGATACGGCGGTTCTGCCTGCCCCCCTCATGCTGCTGCCAGGTCCAGAGTGTCTCATGGGTCCCTGTACGGCCTCCCATTGCTGCTGTCTCCATCGCCACACTCTGCCATGTGCCACTTTCAGGTCTCCTCACACTGCTGGTGTGTTCCATTTTGTCATAGGGTGCTGGCAGATTACGGGCCTCCCATTGCTGCTGCCAGGCCTGTAATCTGCCATGGGCCCCTGTACCGCCTCCTCATGCTGCTGCCAGGTCCAGAGTCTCTCATGGGTCCCTGTACGGCCTCCCATTGCTGCTGTCTCCATCGCCACACTCTGCCATGTGCCACTTTCAGGTCTCCTCACACTGCTGGTGTGTTCCATTTTGTCATAGGATCTGGCAGATTACGGGCCTCCCATTGCTGCTGCCAGGCCTGTAATCTGCCATGGGCCCCTGTACCGCCTCCTCATGCTGCTGCCAGGTCCAGAGTGTCTAATGGGTCCCTGTACGGCCTCCCATTGCTGCTGTCTCCATCGCCACACTCTGCCATGTGCCACTTTCAGGTCTCCTCACACTGCTGGTGTGTTCCATTTTGTCATAGGGTGCTGGCAGATTATGGGCCTCCCATTGCTGCTGCCAGGCCCGTAATCTGCCATGGGCCCCTGTACCGCCTCCTCATGCTGCTGCCAGGTCCAGAGTCTCTCATGGGTCCCTGTACGGCCTCCCATTGCTGCTGTCTCCATCGCCACACTCTGCCATGTGCCACTTTCAGGTCTCCTCACACTGCTGGTGTGTTCCATTTTGTCATAGGGTGCTGGCAGATTACGGGCCTCCCATTGCTGCTGCCAGACCCGTAATCTGCCATGGCCCCCGTACCGCCTCCTCATGCTGCTGCCAGGTCCAGAGTCTCTCATGGGTCCCTGTACGGCCTCCCATTGCTGCTGTCTCCATCGCCACACTCTGCCATGTGCCACTTTCAGGTCTCCTCACACTGCTGGTGTGTTCCATTTTGTCATAGGGTGCTGGCAGATTATGGGCCTCCCATTGCTGCTGCCAGGCCTGTAATCTGCCATGGGCCCCTGTACCGCCTCCTCATGCTGCTGCCAGGTCCAGAGTCTCTCATGGGTCCCTGTACGGCCTCCCATTGCTGCTGTCTCCATCGCCACACTCTGCCATGTGCCACTTTCAGGTCTCCTCACACTGCTGGTGTGTTCCATTTTGTCATAGGGTGCTGGCAGATTACGGGCCTCCCATTGCTGCTGCCAGGCCCGTAATCTGCCATGGGCCCTCGTACCAACTCCTCATGCTGTGACGTTGCAACAAGGTGGAATTCAACCCTACATATGTTAACCGCCTTTACGAACAGCGAAAGGCCATCACGGATTTCCTGATGTTACAAGCGGATAAAGGTACTCCCCTGTGTAACTTAGATGTCAGCCATTGGCAGCTCATGCGTGACACCTGCCGCTTGCTCAGGCCCTTTGAGGAGGCCACGCTATTCGTGAGTCGGCAGGACTATGGGATGAACGACGTCATTCCTCTGTTGCACGTCCTGGAACAAATGCTGTTAACAATGGCTGGTCAGGGTGCGGTAGACATGGCGCACAGATCTCAACACCACATGACCCCTGTGGGGGCAGGACAGGAAGAAGAGGAGGAGGTAGAGGAGGACATTGGTGCTCAGGAATTATTGAGTGAAATGGGTGGTTTTTCCACTCAGCGGACAGGAGTGGAGGAGCAGGAGCATCTGGTAGAGGAGGAGGAGGAGACAGAGGACCCAGACGCACCGTGGCAGTATGCTGTGGAGAGATGGAGATGGAGGCAGGGAGTCCCTCGCATTCCTTGGCACAAATGGCCCATAGCATGCTCGGTTGCTTGCGTAGCGACAGCCGAATAATAACCATCAGACAGAGGGATGACTTTTGGCTGTCCACCTTGTTGGACCCTCGCTACCGTTCAAAAATGGTGGCCCTTTTTCACACCTGCTGAGAGGGAGGCCAAAATAACGTACTATAAAAACCACCTATGTAGTCAGTTGGTCTCTGCCTTTCTGCGCCAACGTCCATCCTCAGACACTGTGGGCCCTGTGCACTCGCGTTCCGCTGCCATGGCAGCAGGGGAGGGGTGGGGGTGGTAGGAGCAGTGGCAGCTCCACCCGCAGCAGCTGCCTCAGTCTGCAGTCGATGATGAGTAGCTTTCTTCACCAGCGCAGTGAGGAAACTACTAACCAGCCGCAGCAGCAGCAGCATCAGGTGGACCTGGAGCAGGACCTCAAACAACAGGCTCGGGCCTACTTGGACAGCACCCTGCCAACCGAGGTAGACAATCCCCTTGACTACTGGGCAACGAAACTTGACCTTTGGCCCCAACTAGCTGAATTTGCCCTTGAAAGGCTGTCATGCCCGGCCAGTAGCGTTGCATCGGAGCGCGTGTGTTTAGTGCGGCAGGAGGTATTGTAACTCCGCGGAGGACACGACTGTCCACCCAAAGTGTGGAGAGACTCACGTTTGTGAAAATGAATCAGGCGTGGATTAGTCTGGATTTCAAACCACCAGTTCCTGACACAACTGACTAAATCCGCCATGAATCATGCCCCAAACATGTTATTATTTTTAACATAGGCCTCTGTATGGCCTTCAATTTAAGCTGCTTACGCTTCGCCACTCTGCCATGGGCCCCTGTACCGCCTCCTCTTGCTGCTGCCAGGTCCAGAGTGTGTCATGGGTCCCTGTACGGCCTCCCATTGCTGCTGTCTCCATCGCCAGACTCTGCCATGTGCCACTTTCAGGTCTCCTTACACTGTTGGTGGGTTCCATTTTGTCATAGGGTGCTGGCAGATTACGGGCCTCCCATTGCTGCTGCCAGGCCCGTAATCTGCCATGGGCCCCTGTACCGCCTCCTCATGCTGCTGCCAGGTCCAAAGTGTGTCATGGGTCCCTGTACGGACTCCATTGCTGCTGTCTCCATCGCCACACTCTGGCATGTGCCACTTTCAGGTCTCCTCACACTGCTGGTGGGTTCCATTTTGTCATAGGGTGCTGGCAGATTACGGGCCTCCCATTGCTGCTGCCAGGCCCGTAATCTGCCATGGGCCCCTGTACCGCCTCCTCATGCTGCTGCCAGGTCCAGAGTGTCTCATGGGTCCCTGTACGGCCTCCCATTGCTGCTGTCTCCATCGCCACACTCTGCCATGTGCCACTTTCAGGTCTCCTCACACTGCTGGTGGGTTCCATTTTTGTCATAGGGTGCTGTATGGCCTCCCATTGCTGCTGCCTCCACCGCCACACTGTGGCTCCACACTCTGGTTTTGGCCCCGTGACTGCCCAAATGAGTGAAGTGTGCGGTGATTCTAAGATCGACGGCACTCATCTGCATGTCATACTGACTGACAGTATTATTTCTCTTCCCCAGCAGACTCCAAGGGCATTTAAATTAAAGGTACAGTGTTCTGCACTAATATAAAGGCTCTCTGAAGCCTAGAAACCCTTTTTATAAGTTAAATTCGCAGCAAATATATTCGCATCGAATCGAATTTATTCCTCGAATTCGCCGAATCAGCCGAATCGAATTTTTGAATACTTCGCTCATCTCTATTGGCAATATATAAGTGAATTTTTGTGAGTGGCATTTCTATTGTTTTACCCCATATTAAAGTTTTATACAGTTTTACACTATGGGATATCTGGTTTTGTTTTGATTAATGCTGAAAATATGAAATACTGCCTGTGGAGGAGAGGAGAGTTGCCTAACATTGATGAAGATCTAGTGGAAAGTTATTGGTTACTACCAGCAATGAACTACCAGTTACTACCAGTGTGAACACAGTGAAGCACTTGTCATTTTAGTATGGAGTATCACCGTTAAAGATACAGCACCATTGCACCAATTATTCACATGTTGGGACTGAATATTAATATTTTATTTGTATTTTGCTCAGTGTTATCACTTTAAAGATCTCACAGTTTATTTTGTCAATTTGTGACCTTACCGCGGTCCAATTTTGAAATATATAAGATTTTGTGTTTAGAGATTCACATTTAGGACTGCTGCTATATAGGTATCTTATATAAAGTTAATTTTTTCACGTATATGTTAATTAATTTTTTTCCTAAGCACAACAGCACCCCTTTTTTCTTTTAAATATATAAGTACTTGTAATAAGTAATAAAACATACCCAGTTGGGGGTACTCGAGGACTGAGGTTAGGAACCACTTCTATTGAAGTGGTTCCTAACAGCTTAGAACGCTGTAATTCCCACTATCTGCCTGTTTCTGGCATGCAGGGCCTATTGGGGAGTTAAAATAAGGACAAATTATAGATAATGCTATTAGTAGTAGTAAAACTATTTTTGAAGATTAGTTAATTAATATACAGTATAAGCTGTAGAAGCAGCAATGAAAACTCTGTGTAAAAAATAGTTTCACCTTTTAGAAGTCTGCTTGGATACAATGATATCATGCCTCAATTCCTAGTTGGCTGGAATTATTTATTTCTATTGGGTGTACTAGAAGAAAGTACTTCCAGCCAATCAAAAAAGGAGTGATGCTTATTATTATTATTATACATAATATACAGATTTATACAGAATAACAGTGCTTTACAAAATCGGTAGTAACGTTACAGTACAATTCAAGACAAGAGGGTTAAGAGGGCCCTGTTCATAAGAGCGTGCAATCTAAAATCTAGACATTGTAAAAAAAAAGCTAATTTTTACACAGAGTTTTCACAGCTGCCATCTAGGGACATACAGAGAGTTGTGACATAGGAGGGGGTGCAATAAATAGCCTACAACAACCTATATACATAGATACTATTAGGAAATGGCAAAAATCACTTTAATGTAGACTAATCAAACATTGCTACTTTATCCAGTAAGTGAACTGCCACATTTGTAAGAGACCTTTTCTGGGGGGGGTGTCAGACTGCCTTTACAGCAATAAATTAAAACAGAATATACGAATTATACCAAGCTTTATTTTAATAGGCATAAACATAAAACAAACTGTTTTCATTGTGTGTGTTTTTTTATTTCACCACTGCTGGCATTCTATGGGGTACAAAAATGATGCCAATTTAAATACAAGAACATGAATGTTTATAGAAGCCACTGTAGTGTATCAAAGGCTTCTCATAGGAATCTACAAGACATGAGCTTCCAAACTCTACTAACTGCATTTCACTGGCATGATTAGGCATCTGTTATTCATTTCCAATCATATTCCAAGGCCCTATGAGACACCTACATCGAAGACCATACATATGATCTGTGAAGTTCTCTGAAGCTTGAAATAAAACAATGATCTAATTTGTAGAGTAGCAGCTACTACTAGCTGTAAATATAATTCAGCAAGAATACCTCAGATTTCTCTATGAAATTAACTGCAGCAAGATAAAAGTTTTAATGTTAACTCTGAACTGAAGCCATTTGGAAAATGCAATATATCGTGTTTTTTTTTCCTTTCCAATGTTATCCTTATGCTACTTTTTTACCTGTTACTGGCTGCAATTTCTGTTAAAAAATTGGCTCCTGGCTGCAGAATAGCAATAAACTCATGGCCTGAGAAGGAATATAAAAAAAAAAACATGCTAAACCAAACTAGTACAGCCCATGCCAACGTATTCCTGTCTAAGTTACATAGTTGCATAGTTAGTCTGGCTGAAAAAAGACAAAAATCCATCCAGTTCAACCAAAAAAAATTAAATTAAATAAAAAGTTATAATCCTATTCCCACAGTTGATGCACAAGAAGGCAAAAGAACCAGCAAAGCATGATCCAATTTGCTCTTGCAGGGGAAAAAATTCCTTCCTGATCCCCCGAGAGGCAATCGGATATTCCCTGGATCAAATTTACCTATAAATGTTATTATCCAGTTACATTCTGTGTATCCAAAAAGGAATCCAAGCCTTTTTTAAAGCAATCCACTGAGCTGGCCAGAACTAACTCTGGAGGGAGTCTATTCCACATTTTCACAGCTCTTACTGTAAAGAAACCTTTCCGTATTTGGAAATTAAATTTCTTTTCCTCCAGACTAGTAAGCAGCCATGTATGAGAAATGGGGGAAATAATGGAGGGGCAGCAATGGCAGTCAATTGGGTGTACTGCATGCAAATGTACTATCAGAGAACATGATGATAGGGGGAGATAGCAGAGTGAGCAAAGTGATGACTTCATTAGTGTGTGGGTGGGTGCAGTGTGGTGTGGAGGCAGAAAGCGCTCAAAGTCCAAGTGCAAGTAACAAGAATATTTTCAAATACAGTTTTGCAATACAACAAGCCCAGTGGGAAGGCAACCCGACCGGGAGCACTCACAGGATGTAACAATGTAGTATCAGAGCAGAAGGTCCCAGGTATGCTGACAACATCTGTCTCAAAGGGCAGAATGTGGCCTGGACAGTTTTTACCCAAGTGGGGAGGCTTCCAGGAAGGATGGTGTGCCTCTGCAATTTCCATACTCCTTTGGAACCTTTCTCTGAGGCTAAGCACTGTTCCTGACAGAAGGGAGACCTGTCCCCACTCTAGCCTCTACATAAAATGTGCACCAAGCCCTGAAGCTGGGATTTTAAGTAGACTCTCTCTGACCCAAGATTTAATTGGATAGCTGCCCCTGTGACCAAGGAAACCATAAAGGAGCTAGGTTCCTCTTGACTTCTTCCTCTGCAGTGCTGCTGTGGTTGAGTGCCACCTGCAGTGGAGAAAATAGACTGCATCTGCCTACAAGAGTGCTGCTGCTTTTTTTTCACTGTCCAGTCAGCAGGCTGGGGATGAAGATAACACTTCTGTATTTCTTATGTATAAGGGTGAATTCACAACTGTGAATGCACCCACACCGTGATTAGATTCATGAACCTCAATGGGGGTTCCTCGAATCAGCTGCAAGAGGCAGCCTGCTTGAAAGCAATAGGAGGCTGCCAGCTCATGTGGCTCATGCAGCAATTGTATGCAAGGGATCCATCCTAGATGTAGACTTCCTATGTTCAGGGTCAAACACTCACATGTCATTGCTGCATGAGAGAAAACATGCTGGTGGCCGTGATTCATTGCAAGAGGTAGCAGCCTCCCATTGCTTTCAATGAGGCTGCCTCCTGAGGAGTTGCACAAGACAGCCAGGGGTTCTACAAGATAACCAAAAGAGTACAGTGCAACCAGAGGGTGTGCAATACATTTTTGTACAAGAGCAGCCAGAAGCTTAGTGGTCCTCAGGTTGTACAGGTTCTACAGGTATCCCATGCTCCCTATCCCTATCCAAGTTACTGTTCCAATAAATACCCAAAAAGAAACCCCTAATCTAATCTATGAGCCAGAGAAAAAGATACCAAAAATGCTGTGTGCCTAGCTGTGTATGCTGTGAGTGGGGGAAATAGGTCCAAATTACTAGCAGCTCCTGCATTGGTAACGCTAAACAGGAAAAGGTGGACAGAAATGCAAATTTTTTGGGAGGTAAAACAGTTTGCTTATATGCATTTTATTTGTATATTTAGTATGTTGCAATGGAGAATAGTGTTAAAGTAACTCTGTCGTGAGCACATTTTAAAGGCTGCCATTATTGGCCCTCTTTTTAAAATATTTGATGAGCTTTTCACTTCTAATCACTCCTCTTTCCTTCCGTTCAATTACTGACTAGATTCACAGGAAGGAAACAAGAAAAGGAAGGAAGAAAAAGAAAAGAAGGGTGGATGGAAAAGAAAATCAGGCTGCTTTAGGTGAAAGAAATACTATCATTTTATTTTTTTTTAAATATGGGTAGTGCTAGTTCAGTCATCTTTGTAAGTCTTTCTCAATAAGTGAAATTTCTGTTTTTTTAAAGAAATAAAAATGTTTGAATTTGGCAGTCTCACTTGTTTTTGCCTAAACACTGAGACTTTTAATCCCAATCATATTGTTGACTGGACTGTTTATACGCAAGTTAAAGGTTACTCTTCCATTTTTGCATCACTTGTTCTTTTCTTGGAAAATCTGCTAATGACAAAATTAGATTTCTGCATACCTGTAGAATAAGATCATTATTGCACTTTTCCAGCCTAGGATCTCCATCCAGCTGGAGATTCGAAATAAAACTTTCACATGCGGATGTCTGTAGAGGTTTTCACTTATCCAGGTCTGGTTCTTCAGTTCTGAAGAAGTGGCTTGGTTCAGCTTTGATACATCTTTAATATTATAGAACAAGTCCAGATTGATGTGAACAACAACTAATAGCTTTCATATGAAGATAGTCTCGTCCATGTTATTATTTGAGGTACTGCTAAAAGCTTGCTGTATATAAATCAGTATACGTTTTTAGTGCTCATTCTTTTTTCTCCATATAAAAAAAAAAAAAGTCCTTTCACAAGGCAGTTTTTAAACCATTTTCAATCAGCATTTAGTTTATTATTATTCTTCTTGGACAGCTCACCCAAGTATGACCACCATTAGACTCATCAACTGAAACGTATGATCAGACATGCCTTGACCATTGTTCCCCCAA